TTTCTGGGATGGTACTCAAATGGTTCAGGTCATACTTAGAAGGGAGAGGTTATTATGTGAGTATAGGAGAGCATACTGTAAGTCTAAGTGGACATCCATGACTTGCAGAGTCCCACAAGGCTCAATTCTTGCACCGCGTTTGTTTAGCCTGTATATGCTCCCACTTAGCAACATCATATGACCCCTTTAAATTCATTTTAAATCACTTTTTAAATCATTTTCAAAGTTTTTAAATTCCTTGTTTTATTTTTGTGATTATTTTACTTTCTTTTATCTAAAGCACTTTGAATTACCATTGTGTACAAAATGTGCTATATAAATAAACTTGCCTTGCCGATTATTAGGAGACCATGATTGACAAAGGCCAGTGGAGGGAATTTGGCCAGGACACCCCCCTACTCTTTATGAGAAGTGCTATGGGGTTTTTAAATGACCACAGAGAGTCAGGACCTCGGTTTAATGTCTCATCCAAAGGACGGTACTTTTTACAGTATAGTGTCCCCATCAATATACTGGGCTGGGGCATTAGGACCCGCACAGACCACAGGGTGAGCACCCCCTGCTGGCCTCACTAACACCTCTTCCAGCAGCAACCTAGTTTTCCCAGGAGGTCTCCCATCCAGGTACTGACCAGGCTCAACCCTGCTTAGCTTCAGTGGGCAACCAGTCTTGGGCTACATGGTGATGGTTGTGGCATGTGAAAAAGATATGTGAAGCACGAGCTGAAGGTGGATGTTTGTACAATTATACTAAAATAAGTTTTATTGATAAAGTATGAAAATGTTTTTTTTTCTCATATTTTTTGTTTGATTTTGGGGTCGAGATATGATTAATCCAGTAATATAATGATGCTGAATCAGCATCCTCATGCGTGTGTCCTTCATACAGTGGTGATTAACACAGTGTTTGTGTCGGTTAGTTGGTGGCGTCCATCATCTTCATCAGTCTGGGTGTCGTGTCGTGTTTCCTCTGCGCCATCATCGATGGAATCATCGCCGCTGAGTTCATTGTGAGTATCTTGAGTGCTTACATGCTGCTCATGAAACTTAACTCATCTCAGGGTTGATACTGTCTTTCACACTGTCTCTCTTTGTGTGTAGGACAGAAGGCCACTGATGGAGGGCCGCTGTGAGTTTTACTCAAGCACTTCTTACGGCTATGACAACTACTACACTGAGGTGAGTTCATCTGAAGATCATCCTAAAGGAATATAAACCACATACTGATGATTATGGGTTGGGTTAGGATTAGTAGATTAACAATCAGGTGGACTCACTGAATGATCATGTGCTCTGCTTCCCTCTGCTGGTCAGAATGAACATGACTTCAGTTTGATCTGACCATCAGAAACACTCTCAGAAACATAAAGCTGTCAAATTCAACATATTTGTAAAATTTGAACATATTTCTAAAATTCAGTATAGTTGCTGCATACAGTTATTTTTTAATTTCCATTTATTCATTTTGCAGACACTTTTATCCAACACTCATAAAAATAAAGGTTCTTTATTGACATTGATGATTCCTTGAAGAACATTTAAATTCCAATACATTTTTCAATTGGACTAAAGGTTCTTTATATTGTTCTTTACAATATTAAAATGTAATCCACAGACGGCTTGTTTTGGCCACGGGAATGGGCGATTTTACCGCTTGATAAATAAAAGCAGCACGGAACAAAGCTTTACATGCTCATCATCTCCTAATTAGAACCCGAAATATTTAAATATTAAGTCTGCTCTTTAAAACAAAAACAAAAAAGAAGCAATGGAAGGTGAGTAGTATGTGTAAACGGGGAATCTCTGTAAATGTGTGCAGTGTGTGCATGTCAAAAGATCAAATCTGATATTGAAGCTTGTGACACAAAAACGTGCAGCCAATCATTTTATTTAGCGTTTATGTAAACACTACACTCGGATTCATAAATCAGAATGATTTCATTCCGATTGAAACAGATTGAAAGTGTCGATTGTAAGCATAGACAGTGATCTGAGCTCATGCACCTCAGTTTTTGAGTAAAAAAAGTGTTATTTGTGGATAATTTTGGCAATATTCCACTTTTTGAGTGAAAAAAAAACATTATTTGTGAATAATTGTGGCAATATTCAGTTTCTGAGTAAAAAAAAATTCTTTACTGATAATTTTGGCAATATTCAGTTAAAAACTGAGGTGAATCAGCTCAGATCAGACAAAATATCGAAATTTTGTTAAGTTATATCCTGTGTGAGCAAAGTCAGTAAGTTTTAGTCCAATGAGATCAAATTTACTTGTGATTCTAAAAAAAGAAAATCCTCTCTGGATTCAAATGACCGGAACACAACATGAGGGTTAAGAAGTGTTCACTGAAAGGGCCTTTGAGGAATCAAACCTGTTTTTTTTTTCTTCTATAGCATGACACTGAAAATCCTCTTTTGGAAGCTTTATTTTTAAGAGTGAAAGCAACTCCCACATCAGGAACATCTCAGTCGGCCTGTCATAAAAGTCACAATATTCATAGTTCATAATGTAGTTCATGTGCTATATTTGTAGTTCATTTAACTGTATTTGACTGTGTTTATTTACTGCGGTCAGGTTCACTGTAATTCCTACGGTAGTCAGTGTAAACTCAAGGTGAAGAGCAACACCTGCTACTGCTGTGACTTATTCCACTGTGACAGGTGAAGCACACGCAGCAATCAATGAGCATTTACAGCTGAACTATGTGTTATTCAGCGTTTTGCTGCATGACTCTGTCTGTGTGTGTGTGTGTGTGTGTGTGTGTTAGGGTGGACTATCATGTGCAGTACTATGAGTTTACGGGCGTCAGAAGCTGCTGGGATGTGGTGAATCTGTATCGTCTGCTGTGGGCCTGTGTGGCGCTCAATGTGCTCGGTGTGTTTCTCGGCATCATCACCGCCGCCATACTGGGAGCCTTCAAAGACTTGGTGAGTCTGGATTCATCAGACACAAATGAAACTAGAGCGTTTGCTCATTGTTTTTAGATTGAACTACATGACAGTTGGAGTAATTGAAGATGCTGAAGCCATCAGACTCGCTCGTTTGTTTGTTTTTTTGTTTTTTTACTTAAAAGTTATTTTTAACCTCAACATTACATTGCAGTTTTAGTTGTTTTCAAGTTTGTTTTGCACACGCAGCAATCAATGAGCATTTACAGCTGAACTATGTGTTATTCAGCGTTTTGCTGCATGACTCTGTCTGTGTGTGTATGTGTGTGTGTTAGGGTGGACTATCATGTGCAGTACTATGAGTTTACGGGCGTCAGAAGCTGCTGGGATGTGGTGAATCTGTATCGTCTGCTGTGGGCCTGTGTGGCGCTCAATGTGCTCGGTGTGTTTCTCGGCATCATCACCGCCGCCATACTGGGAGCCTTCAAAGACTTGGTGAGTCTGGATTCATCAGACACAAATGAAACTAGAGCGTTTGCTCATTGTTTTTAGATTGAACTACATGACAGTTGGAGTAATTGAAGATGCCGAAGCCATCAGACTCGCTCGTTTGTTTGTTTTTTTGTTTTTTTACTTAAAAGTTATTTTTAACCTCAACATTGCATTGCAGTTTTAGTTGTTGGCAAGTTTGTTTTGCATATTTCAGCTGCATTCAATTTTGGTTACAAACTCATTTAGGGTTTAGTTATAGAGAAGCACAGTCTCTCGGTAGTGACACTGCAATCACCAAAATCTATTTTATTTGATTCTGATCAGTCTGATATTGAAATCAGGTGATCAAATCTTATTTTGTTTATTATTAAATAATTTATAATTTATTCATTATTATTTTATTATCAGTTTAGTTTTAATTTAAACAGTATTTACTTTTTTTCTTTCAGGTTACAAAAGTACTAAACATTAATTCATCACTTTTTATTGGACAGCATAATGTTTTGATGGCTTATTTAACTGATTTATTTTTTTATTTAAAAAATATATAAAAAATCCCGACAGCTATTTAGATTTATAATTTCAAATATCAGCTCTCACATAACAGTGATTCTACTGTCAGCATCAAAGCTTCCACATTCATGTATTTTAATGAGTCTGTAGTTCATGTATGTGTGTGTGTGTGTGTGTGTAGGCTCCCACGGTTCACAGTCACATGACACCCAGTCCGGCTCCACCCCCTCACATCCTGTACAACCCCACCCAACACCTGATCACCTACACCGGTTTCTGCCCCTCCGGACAAACTCTACCTGCCTACCCAAACTACCCACTACCCACACAGGTGAGGACCGTTAACCAACTAACCTCTCTCAGGACTGTACTGACAGTCAGATGATCAGGACACCAACATGACTGAATTATTACAGAAAATATTGTTCTACTACGTGATTTTGTTTGGTTTTGTTCTAGTGAGAGATTTAAATGTCAGTCTGTTTTACATTTACATATCCATTTATTAATTTAGCAAATGCTTTTATCCAAAGCAACTTACAAATGTGTAAAACAACATGCGATTCATCAAAAATGAGGCAAATAAACACAGGAAGTGCTCGTAATACAAAGTTTCAGACATTATTTAGAATAGTATAAGCTAGAACAGGGAAGGATTAAGAAGAAGTGAAAGCATAGGCTTGTTTTTTTAGGATGTGGTTAAATGTTGATGGAAGAGGTGAGTTTTCAGCTGTCTCTTGAATATTGCCAGGGATTCTACGTTCCAAATGGGGGTGGTAAGATCATTCCACTAAGGAACTGTGAATGAAAATGTTCTGGAAAGTGATTTTGTGCCTCTTTGTCATGGTACCACGAGGCATTTCTCAATTACAGATCTCAGGCTTCTGGAGGGGATGTAGACTCGTAAGAGTGAGTGGAAGTAGGAGGGTGCTGAGCCAGTGGCTATTCTATACGCAAGCATCAATGCCTTGAACTTGATGCAAGCCGCAACCAGAAGCCAGTTTAGGGTAATAAAGAGAGGTGTGACGTGGGTCCTTTTGGGTTTGTTGAAGACCAGTCGTGCTGCTGCATTCTGAATCATTTGAAGATTGCACATGATGGAAGTCCAGCCTAGAAATGACAAGCGCCTGGACAAGTTGTGCATCATGCTCCATTAGGAAGGGCCTGATCTTCCTGATGTTGTGCAGTGCAAACCTGCATGATTGAGCGGTTTTTGCAATGTGGTCTTTGAAGGTCAGCTGCTCATTTAAAGAGCATGTCAAGATTTCTGACCGAGCTTCATGGGGTAATTGTGGATGAACCTAGCTGGATGGTGAAATCGTGCTGTAGAGTCGAAGTGGCAGGGAAGACAAGAAGCTGATTGGTTAACGTACCGCTGGTTATTCTGTGAAAGAAAAGATGATAACTGGTTAAAAACAACTCAAAAAAGTGTTTTTGCTATAAATGGAAGGAGAGAGACAGGTCTGTAACCATTAACATGTGAGGTGTTTAGCGTGGGTTTTTTAGCCAGTGGTGTTACCCGAGCCTGCTTGAATGCGGTCCTGAAAATGCCTGTGAGAAGAGATTGATGTTGATGATATGTGTGAGTGCTGGTAAAAGTGTAGGGGAGATTTTTAGCAGTGGATGTGGTTGGTTTGAGTTCCTGTGTGTTTGGAGCTGAACTGAATGCTGATGGTTTAGATTTTTTTCTGTGAAGAAATTAGCAAAATCTTCCACTGTTAAAGAGGTGGCAGGGGGTGGTGGAGGGGGACAAAGGAGCGAGTTGAATGTTTTGATAAGGTTTTTGAAGCACTGTTGATCTTGTTGTGGAAATATGAACTATGAAAAGTATGGACTTCTGCAGAAAACTATAAAAGCAGAGGCTGATACATACTCAGGTCAGATGGATCTTTTGATTTGCGCTATTTTCTCTCTGCTGCCCCGAGTTTGGTCCGTTGTTCACGAAGAACATCAGATAGCCAGGGGTTAGAAGGGGTAGTGCGCGCAGGCCTGGAGGAGAGAGTACAGAATTGTCTAGACAAGAAGTTATAGTGGAGCATAAAGTGGCCTTTTCAGTGTTCACTTCCAGAGATGAGAAATGGGTGGGTTAGGGAAGAGATGATGTCACAACAGAGTAAAGATGGGAGGGTGAAAGGGAGTGCAGTTTTCCCCTAAATGCAACTGGCAGAGGGGCTGATTCATCACATGTAGTAAGATGTAGATTAAATGTAATAAAGAAATGGTCAGAAATGTGCAGAAAATGTTTTACCAAAACATTATCTTTGAAACAGCTACATGTGTAAATTAGGTCAAGCTGGTTGCCTGATTTGTGAGTATCTGTGGTGGTAAGCCATTGGAGACTGAATGAGGCTAAGAGGGAGTGGGAGTCTGTAGCGCAAGGCTTCTCCAGATGAATGTTTAAGTCACCAAAGACTACAAGTGGGCTGCATCCTCAGGGAATGAGGACAGCAGCACATCCAGTTTCTCTATCAAGGTGCCCAATGGACTTGGAGTGCGATAAATGACTACAATATGGGGTTTTACAGAAGTTGTTAGTGTAATATCATGAAATTCAAAGGAATTGTTATTGCATAGAGAGGAGTGGGTTGAGTATTTCCAGTTGTTAGAAATGATGAGACCAGTACCCCCACCCCTTCCAACCTGACGGTGAGTGTGAGATAAAGAGAAGTTGGGCTGCTGTGTCTTCTGGATGAATCCAGGTCTCAGTCAAGAAAATAAAGAAAAGTTACTTAAGTGCCTTGTCGGTGTACTTGCTCAGTGGAGTCACGCAGGTAGAGTCGCAGATCTTTACTAGAGTCAGTCTTCACATGAGGAGGCTGAACACAAGGGTTGAATGCTTCTGTGCCGGCACACAGATAACAAATAAATACACAGCTTATCGACTTGAGTGAAAACAGCTGTGGGCGCCTTTTACAATTAGCACACCAAAAGCCTATAGCATGCGAATGGCTCAAATTGAAACTACTGTGGAACAGTTCGCCACTTAAGTGCAATAAGGAGCAATACAAATAAAAAAAAGTTTCTTCTTAGCCAACGGCTAATATTCTAATTTACAAATAAGTCCAATAAAAATACAAATTGCAATGAAAGTAGAAAAATGGAAATAAACATTAAATTAATTAATCATTCCTAGCAGCAAATATTAATCTAAATAACAGAAACAAGCTATTAAGCAAACACTTAAGTGCTACCACTGTCTCTACTGACTAATCGCTTCTGGTGAGTTTGGAGAGTGGCCAAGCAGTTTAAATACCGGTCGCTGTGCACGCCTTTACAATTAGCACACCAAAAGCCTAAAGCACACGAATCTCTACTGACTAATCGCTTTGTTCTATTAAGAGATTTAAATATTGGTCGGTTTTGTTTTAGAACAAAACTGACCAATGTTTAAATCTCTTACTAAAACAAAACCGACCAATATTTAAATCTCTTAATAGAACAAAACTGACCAATGTTTAAATCTCTTACTATTAAGAGATTTAAATATTGGTCATTCTTGTTCTAGTATGAGATTTAAATGTCAGTCAGTTTTGTTCCAGTAATATCAGTCAATTCTGTTCTAATAAGAGATTTAAATATCATTTGGCTTTGTTCTATTAATTAATTTAAATGGCAGTCAGTTTTGTTCTATTAAGAGATTAAAATGTAGGTTGGTTTTGTTCTATGAAGAGATTTAAATATTGGTCGATTTTTTTTCTGTTAAAGGAGACATATTAGCTGTCGGTGACAGTGCTTGCATTTTTTTGTCCCACAAGAATACCAACATGTTCACCTTTGGTTTGAGAAGCGGTCTTTTACTTTACTTTAGCATGAAACCCATCCAACGTTTCCTTAATATTCGCGTAATTTTTGCTGCATGCAGCTTCGCGCTCCTGACGCGGAGAGTATAAACCAGGCTCTACACTCGAAGCGCTGCGCATAGATCTAAATAGTGTTCTGTGCAAACAAAGGCAGAACAGTTAGCGTGTTTTGCTCAAACTTTCGCCATGGCATTAGAGCTTGTACACCGTTGTCGCTTGCGAAAACACAATAACGGCGCCGTGAGTGGAAACCATAGACTGTATAAAAACATGCACATGCAAACCGCTAGTCAGCAGTGTCCACGGGCATGTTGCTGGTGTAACCCGCAGTACCACGACAAAAGCCGAAGAAGAAGCGGCTCGTCGGAGAAGCATTATAGCCATGATGGCGGCAAATAAATATCAAATCATTATATCATTATTTAAAACTACAAAAAGGAGACAACAACGGAACAGGAGAAGATGGCATACTTTCAATCTCCACAAGGACTTGTACCAAGGCAGATCAACATTGTTTGTCGCGGACAACTACTGATGCTATGTAGTATAATAAATGATGACACTTGTTCTTTGCTTTGTTTTGTTTTATATAAGAAGGTGTAACATTAAAATATATTAAAGTGCACATAAACACACAAAACTCAAGTGCATACGGAGGGAGGGGTTCTAGCAGACCAATCACAGCGCTTGCGGTCCACCTAGAATTGACGCACTGTTAGATTTTTGGAGAGGTGCACGTCAGGCTATGGCATAGGGTGTGCGTCTATGCATAGGCTACGGCGTAGGTTCGACGCAGAAGTATAAATTGGGCTTAATCGAAAATGGGCAAAGAGGCGGGAGCTGGTTGCTGAAACCACGCCCACCTAGCTCGACACCGGTGACAGCAGCGGTAATCAACCTGTCACTCAATTAGCAGCGGTAATCCACCTGTCGCTCAATTAGCAGCGGTAATCCACCTGTCACTCAATTGGCCACGCCCTTAATTATGCAGAACTTTAAGGCTTAATATAATTTAAACGGATGAGTTATAAAAAAAAATCACCCCCCTCACAGTTGTCATGAAGGGCAAAATTATATAGACCAAAACCACTTTTTGTACTAGGCTGTAAACATGTTTTTTCCTGCTGTAAAGTTGGGCATTTTAACATGGGGAGTCTATGGGACTGACTCCCTTTTGGAGCCAGCCTCTAGCGGCCATTCGATGAATTGCAGTTTTAGTCACTTTCGTGTTGGCTTCACGAGAGAGCGGGAGGTTGCCGCTTGGTGGAAACTTACAGATTAAGGGGCAGTAATATTATAATGAGATCCCTTTGCCACGTCACCAAGGGAGCGAAATCAGACGCACTCGTTTTCTCAGACGCTTGTAGAAAAAGGCTTACCAAAACAAAGTTACTGGGTTAATCTTTTTCATGTTTCCTTGGTTGGTAGATGCACCAGGGACCTGATTATAGCACTTAAAACCTGGAAAAGTCAGACTGTGGTTCAAAGTTACTTTTGTCATAGTAAAGCATTCATCTAATGCTTTAATCTAATCATTTCTGATGTTCTTTTTTTTCTTTGTCCTCGTCCTGCAGCATCTGAATGGTTATCCAGCTCCGGCCACAGGTCAGTCCATTCTTGAGGTCTCGACCTCCACGCCTGACGAGACTCAAGTGGCTGCTCAGAGCGGGACGAACTCAGCCGTTTCGACTCAATCCTCCTCTCAGGACAGCAGCGGCTACATGCTGACTCCAAACGCTCCCTCACTCTATGCTCACTCATTAGGGCCCTTCGAGAAGCCTCCACCCTACGCCTGTTGAAAACATTTGAATCAAGAACACTGACCTCTGATGGGCGCCTGACCCCTGTGACCTCTGCTGCTGGCTGGCGCTGCTGCTAATGACCCCAGATAGAGTCTCTGTAATTGTGAATTATTCTCGTAGCAAATGTGATCAATGTTGTTCTCTGGTAGTTTCCAAAACCTCTGAATTTTAGCTTTTAACATCCTCTTCCTTCAGTGGGATCGTCATAATTTGATTTATTGAATCATATCAGGCTGAAACACTCGATTACAACGATTACAAAAACTCGAGCTCCATTTCATGCACATGGATTATATGCTTTAGTCTTTTGCTGTCAGATCAGCTATTGTCACGATGAAGGATCAATCTGTGGAGAATCCTGCTGAGAAAGTGTTGGCATGTTTATATTAGATTCCTGAATAACACATATGCGCCTGACCCCTGTGACCTCTGCTGCTGGCTGGCGCTGCTGCTAATGACCCCAGATAGAGTCTCTGTAATTGTGAATTATTCTCGTAGCAAATGTGATCAATGTTGTTCTCTGGTAGTTTCCAAAACCTCTGAATTTTAGCTTTTAACATCCTCTTCCTTCAGTGGGATCGTCATAATTTGATTTATTGAATCATATCAGGCTGAAACACTCGATTACAACGATTACAAAAACTCGAGCTCCATTTCATGCACATGGATTATATGCTTTAGTCTTTTGCTGTCAGATCAGCTATTGTCACGATGAAGGATCAATCTGTGGAGAATCCTGCTGAGAAAGTGTTGGCATGTTTATATTAGATTCCTGAATAACACATATGTGAGCCTGGACCACAAAACCAGTCATAAGGGTCAATTTTTTGAAGTTGAGATCTATACATCATATAAAAGCTGATAAATAAGCTTTCCATTGATGTATGGTTTGTTAGGATAGGACAATATTTGGCCGAGATACAACTATTTGAAAATCTGGAATCTGAGGGTGCAAAACAATCTAAATATTGAGAAAATCACCTTTAAAGTTGTCCAAATTAAGTTCTTAGCAATGCATATTACTAATCAAAAATTAAGTTTTAATATATTTACTGTAGGAAATTTACAAAACATCTTCATGGAACATGATCTTTACTTAATATCCTAATGATTTTTGGCATAAAAGTAAAATCAATAATTTTGACCCATACAATGTATTTTTGGCTATTGCTACAAATATACCCCAGCGACAGGTTTTGTGCTCCAGGGTCACATATGGTTTAATAACAGAAGCTCTACTACCTAACTACAAATTCAGTTCTTATGTAATACAACAACGCACATGATCCAGTGGTTAGATTCACAAAACTTTATTAATAAAAAACTTCCTAACTGCTACATTCGTCTTGAAAAACAAAAAAATATTTAAGTTAGGATTTTTTTTTTTTGCATCACTGTGAAAACCATCTTTTGGCACATTTATTTTTAAGAGTGACATTTCTTAAAGCAAAACTTTAGAATTCTAATTCTTGATGAATGTTATTAAAAATCATAAATGTATAAGTTGATAACCGTCAGCTTGTCTTAAATCTTCATAAGAATGATTATTAATTAATTTATTTGTGTAGTTTCAAATACTAAACATATGGCAGCATAACACTAACTACATGTATATGACTATTGCCAGATTTTACTTTCATGATATACCATGCAAATTCTCCTGTTAGTCATATGTAACTCTCACATTTTACATTGAAAAATGAAGTGCTTGCTGCTTAAAAAGAGTAAATAGACGAATATATGGTTAAAATGTACCAGTTTAAAGTTTGAAATATATTGTATTAGACAAGGCAATAATATAGTATATCAAAGCTTGTTTTATAATCAAGAAAAATACGTTCTTAACCCTTTCATCTTTTGAACATTTCTGTAAGTAACTATAATAAATTAAACGCTTTAAAAAACAAAAAAAGCCTTAAAAGCATAGCAGCTTAATCATGAACTATTCGTTTGAACTCTTCAGAATAAGTCCATTATTTAATGGCACTGGAGTTTGCTTTGTCATGCACTTCTGAAATGCATAAACTTGAAAACACAATGTGAAAATTCAATGAACAATTGCCCCCCAGATTTCAGTAATTTACATTGTCCAAGTGTTTACTGCACAAGACCACCACTTTTTACCTAACAAATTTGCTATTTCATTATTTTAACCTTAGACAAAATTCAGTATTTTCACAAAATAGAATGTTTCCTTTAAACTGCAAAACTATAAATGAGAAAAAGAACTGGTGTTTGTAAAGTGTTCTTTTTAAATATTCAAATGAGGCATCATCTAATTAAATGTACATTAATTTGCATACATTACCAGAACAGAAATCTAAACATTGGATAAAGCCAGGATCAAAACTCTTTGATTTGGTTGACATATTAAAGGTTTTTTTCCAGAGGGGATTTTGGTTTTCTCTTTTTATTGCTCCATAAATCAGAAAATACTGTCAACAGACAGAAAACAAATACATTTTCACCGTTTTTATAAATCAAAATGAGTGTGAATGATATATAAATGCCTCAATAAAAGACTTTAGAATATAGATTGGAATAAAACTGAAGTTTGGTGTGAGATGATATGGAATGGAGTTGAAATCTACAGACACTAATAGATAAAGTGCAATAAACACTTTGTATGGTCTGAAAGAAGGCGTGTTATGGATGCAAACTAGACAACAACAAACAACAACTGGTTTTGCTTGTAGTGTCTTGCCTTAATGTTTTAGTGATTTAAGTGTTTTTGCACTAGCATCGTGCGCTTCTGGCCTTTGCAGCTCAAAATATCAGTGTAAAGTAATACTCATCAGGTTGGTTTTGTTTCTGTGAGCCGCTGAACATCTGTGGACTTCAAACACAGAATTCATCATCATAACAACAACATCCGCCTTTATTAGTTTTCATCAAGCATTTCAGTCTCACACACAGAGCAAACATGAACGAAATACAAAACAACTTCAACAATAAAAACAAGTTTAAAAAAGACAAACTCAAACGAGGGACTAGAAAAACTCCCAACTCAAACTACTCGATGATGACGATGATGAAGTTGAGCACCTACATTGAGGCCTGAAGGCCTTTAATGGTAGCTGGGTGTTTTTATTCCTCCTCCCCTAAAGCATTTTACAGTGGCATATGTACAGTTACAGTATTTTACAGCACACTCTCAGTAGCTTGTGTCTGGTTGGTCTAATGTGAGTAATACATTGATACACGGGTCTGTGCTATATTTGCATGATGTGAGTGTGGCGAGGGATCTGGATTTACTAAGGCCTTTGTGGATCCATTGACTGGATCCAGATTAAAGCTCCTCCTGCAGTGGAAAGCACTTCGCTGGAGTTTCAGCTGCTGTTATTGCTGTGCATCTACCAGAGGGCAGGAGTGAGAGCGGATGTCGTTGTGTTTGTGTTGGGCCTCGTCCACGTCCAGCAGCTGACCGTTGACCCGCACGTCCATGCAGCCCGTGTAGAAGGCTGACACTGGAGTGGACACTACAGAAACATCTGCACAAACAAACATCATCAGGAACAGATCGACATATAAACCATCTGTAGATTCACTCGGAGCCATAATTCACATTCACCAGAGGCTGAACAAATCAGCTTTGGTCAGCAAATAAAACACTAAAGCACTGGCCAGTTAGCTGGTCACATTATAAGAAACTGCACAGTGAAGTAAGAGTGATTTCAGGTTCAAATCCTATCAGTCACATCTTAAGATCATTTGCAGATAATTTTACAGTTCTTTCACAGAAAATAAGCCACAGCTGAGCTGAAAATACGTTGCACTGGGTCAAAATTTGCATTGGTAAGAGAAAAACAAAAAACATTGTCATATTTTATTATTACATTCAGAAATAATGTAAAATACCGGAAAATACAAAGAAATGATTTCAAACATTACAAACATGTATTTTAGTTCCTCTCACTCCACAACAAATCCTTTAAATGTAACTGTATTTAACTGTAAACATAAATTATAGAGACATTCATTATAAACAACATTTATAATGAACGGCAAGCCTAAACGATTTTTTCAAAGCAATACTCAAACAATAGGTTACTGTCGTAACCCCGGTTCTCTGAAACATCGAGTGGAGAGATCCACCTATGGGAAGGGCATCCGTACCTGACCTCTGCAGAAGCATCCAATTGCACCAAGTCTTGCTACACAGACAGAAGCGCGCAGCCAATGCCAGTTAAGGCCCCACCCCCTTACCTGAGAGCATATAAGGCCTGCACGCGATGCTATTCTCCAGTAAGTATATTCGCTTCTCGTGCGGCAAGCGGGGCAAAGCTGTTGGATCTCTCCACTCAATGTTTCAGATAACCGGGGTTACGACAGTAACCTATTGTTCTCTTTCATCATCTCGTGTTCGAGATCCACCTATGGGAGAGACATGGACAGCTCCCCGATTGCCCAATACACTCACAGTGAGGTTCTGTAAACCAGAGAAGGACGGTCACCCCAAGAGGTCCGTTCACCGTTCTGCCCTCCTGGGTGGCACCCCAGCCTGTTAGGGACGCATCTGTCGTCACGACTTTCCGCAACATCACCGTTCCCAAAGGAGTTCCCTGTGCATAAAAGCCCGCGCTTCTCCAGTGGTGCAGAGCTGCCGTGCAGGCTGTCACTGTTACAGAGCGGCAGAGATCGCGTAACGGGCTGAAATGTAGAGACACAAAAAGTGAGCAGTGATAAATCCAACCCGAGCTGTGAAGTGCAGAGATCGCGAGAAGCGAATGACAATTGGAGAATAGCGTCGCGTGCAGGCCTTATATGCTCTCAGGTAAGGGGGTGGGGCCTTACCTGGCATTGGCTGCGTGCTTCTGTCTGTCTAGCCAGACTTGGTGCAATTGGATGCTTCTGCAGAGGTCAGGTACGGATGCCCTTCCCATAGGTGGATCTCGAACACGAGATGATTAAAGAGAACTTCTGGCATGTGGGAAATATGTTATGCAAATCATCTTAAGCTCACGTGCCTCTCTAAATCAACACCAACACAAATGTTTTGTGTGCGCTTGATGTTAATTGCATTATATGTCATAGCATGTTTCAGATCATAAAAAAATATGGTTTATTAAAATTGCCAGATTTTTCAGAAAATGTTTTAAACAGCAAAATTAGCATATTAGCTTGCGGTTACACTGTACACTTTTCTAATTTTATTGGCGTTTCTGATGCAAGATTATCATAGGAAACTAAAACAACAAGACAAACTAACAGTAAATAAATAGTAATAGTAAAGATCTAACAAACAAAACTAAAACTGACAAAGAACTTACTAGAGACTGATGTAAACTGAAGTGAGACTAATGTAAGACTTAAATGAGACTAATATGAGAATAAAAGAGACTAATGTAAGACTGAAGTGAGACTAATGTGAGACTAAAAGTAAGACTAA